TTTACATCTTGACACAGGCCCATGCTAGCTGTTTCATCCAAGTTCAAGGTCTCCTTGTTCTAGCTGCATATTGATTTTTCAAACTCGAGCATGGTATAAATCTCTGCCTTAGAAGAGATTACTAATATGCATATTTTCTAAAATGTCAAGCTTGTTTTCTTAATGACCTTATCATGTTTTCTCAAGGCTTTTTATGTAGGGCAAATTCTCATTAATAAAAAGCTTGCTGTCTATGGCACTTTCTTGACAGATTGCAGCCACATATGCAGGCAGATGCAGCACTGCTACGTGAGAGCGCCCAAAAATATTCAACTGCGTCACTCTAAATGTCAGTGTTTGTGAAAAATGAATGCGTGAGCATATCTGGAGTGATAATCTGGATACCCGTTTCCCTTGTAAACAGACAGAAATATCTCCAGTGAAGGAAAACAAAACAAAAATCAAAATCATGAAGGGTTCTGTTCGACTTGAAAGATTGCAAAAAGTAAGTGTGTCTTATGTCTCAGAGACAAACCAACTGTGTTGAGTGTGTCAGTAATGGCTACTTGTTTGCACTTGGTGGCTTTACTTCTCCTCAACTATATCAGAGGCTGATAGTAAGGCGATGAAAACTCTCAGGATGCATTTTCCAAGCAAACACAGAAGCGAGAAGGTAAAAGGGTAGAGAGAAAAGGTTTTGGACGTTGGAGTGCAGAGATGGGAAAAAGACAAGGGAGACTTGAGAAGGCAATTCATTTTGAAGGACAAAGAGTTAAAGGACAGAGCAGCAACAGAGGACAGAGATGAAGAAAGGACAAGAAAGAAATCAAAGAAGTCGAGGCAGGCTGGCGTGTCAGCGTAGCCTCTGATAAAGATGGGAAAAGGCAAAAGAGAAGAATGAAATGAAACAGGAGGAGGTTTGAGGCAAAGATGATAAAATGAGCTGGAAGTACGCACGAACAAAAATGATAGCACATGAGTGGAGGAGAGAAAAGATGACGTTACAAGCATAATGATGGCATTTTAGCAAATGAACAGCAGATACCAGTTTGATAAGAGGATAGAGGAGAGAGTGTGTCATTTTTTATGCCATTTTTTTCTGAAGACAGTAGAAAACAAAAGATTATGGATATTAGCATACTAATTATATATGAAATAGTCATATTTGATCCATTTATTGTCAAACTGACCCAGACACACAGAGAAGGGTCACGCTCATTTTCATGTAAAATACTTAATCACATCATACACTGTTTATACACTATGCTGTCTGACCTTATGGTTTCCCTCAGAATAAAATCTTTGTGTTCAGTTATTAACAACAAAGTGCAGATCAAATGAGTTCCCTAGAAGCTTTCAGCATTGTTAATTGTTGTTTGGAGGTATTTACTGGTCACATGCAGCATGGATAGAAGATTCTAGATATTCAAAAGCTTATTTAGCCTGAAGGAAATTTGGAAGCCTTTTTGAGCACTGAATTTGCATCTGTAAGCCCAAATTAATAGCTGTAAGGCGCTTTAACCAGTCATTAGCACCAGCTAACAGCTATTTGATAATGAGCTTCCTTACCATTTAAGAGCTGTCTGCAAGTTAAATGGCCTCTTATATATAAACTCTTTGCAGTTTATATATATATATATATAAACTGCAAACCCTTTGGCTTTGCTAAACATATTTTTATGATTTCAGTTAAGGGACAGTCCATCGGTTTAGGTAATGATAGAGCACATTTTGACACCAGCCATCCAGCTGTAGTCTTGTAGTCTTGAGTGGCAGTGCTGCAAATTGAATTCAGTTGTTATAGGAGCAGAACACATCACTGGCCAGAGAAGACACAAAAGCATCCTGAGCCTCCATAAGTGGATATAACCATGTATCTGTCTTTGTCACAAATACACACACACACACACTACACTTGCCATGTACAAACCTCTGTTTACTAAGTCATCAGCTATTTGCTCTATTCTAGCACCACCTATTGATTCTACTTCAGCTGTTCAGCACATGAAGTGCTGTAGAAGCGACACTATTGCATGGTTCATATTTCGTCAGCAACCGAGCTGAAGCATAAACCTTTTCCTCTCTCATGCCCATCACTTTTCTTGGAATTTCACTGAGTTCATTCTCAAATCACATGCATGCAAATGCTCTGAGCTTTTGTTATGCTAAAACTACTGATCCAGCCACCTGGACTTATAAACAGCTTAATGGGGTGGAGATAACTGAAACAGATGACTGCGAAATTAAATTTTACAACAGCAGATCCTCTTGTCTGCATGGAAATACATGAATAACAACATTTGCCTGAATAAAGTTCATATTAGACTCATACAGAGAGCTGAGTGTGGAGCAACATGAGAAATGAGAAGAGCTGCAGCTGTGCAGCACATATTGTGACACTTAACTTTAATCACATCACACAACCCGTCCAGCTTTGCCAATGGTTTCACCTAAGTCAACTTTAGTACCTCAAATGCCTTAATCATTTTGCATCGAGCCAGCCATGTGCTGAAAAATGAAACCCGGGCAGCATTAAATTAAGAAGTAAAGCCTGACCTCTGTTTCTGAGAATGTAGTGTCATGACTTGTGTCATTGAAAGGTTAAACCACACCCTTGGATCGACTTTGATGGGAAGTCTAAATTGTAATGGGTGACACTTCATCCCAATTATGCAGATTCTCTTAGCATCACCTGATTAAGTAGTTAATTGCATGACAGCAAAATTGTCCACAACTTCCAACTGGTTGAAGCCCGGGGTCACAGGGGCGGCAGCGGAGGAGGGAGATTCATCCTAACAGCTCTGGACTAGAATAATTTTAACTCACTCTGAGCCCTAGCTGAGTGTTTGGCTGTTCACAATCAAGTCTATTGATGCTCAGATGGGGAGACAAGGTGACTGAATTGCATTTGGTTAGCATTAGGTTGATTAACATGTATAAGTACCAACAGGTGATCGGTGTGTGAGTGAGAGAGAGAGAGAGAGAGAGAGAGAGAGAGAGAGAGAGAGCGAGAGAGAGAGAGCACAGCTACTCGTTGTTTTCCCCTCAAAAGCAGAACAACTGAAAAATGTGCACAGTCTCCGTGCATCCCTCCGTTT